AACATATTAATTATATTTTTATACACAGTCAAGATCTTCATGATGTATATAATCTTTAGAGCGTATTTTCAAGTCCGTGACAAAATTATCTTTTTAAAAAAGAATGCCAAGTATACATGCATACACTGATGTAATGTTTTATATTTTACTGCCATTGAACTTGTCTGCCATCAAATTGTTAATATATAATTTTACGTAAATCTTGGTAAAATTTAATCAAAATCTCTATAGATATAGGTACACATAATTTGCAGGAACATAATTGTATATAAGAACTTTGGTTACTTTTCAAAAATAGTGATAAATTATAATACAATTATAAAACTTGGGCAAGCCAAGGATATTTTGAAATGAAAGAAAAGAGAAAGATGTAGTAAAAATATAGCAAACCACAGAATAAACATAGTAAAACGCAATATTTTATTACATTGTTACAAACTACATTTTTCCTCCTGTTTGCAGGAATATTATTTTTTTCGTTTTTCTGATTTTAATTTAATTATCTGGCTATGAAAAGAAGAAAATGTATATTCTCTGATCGATCAGAAAGAAAAGATAATGCATACAATTTTAGAAATCTATTGAAATACTAAATGTTCTCTCTCTTATTCGATTTTATATTGTGTGAACTTAGACACATAGAATTTTCTATCGATATTTATACATATTCATTATCGTGTGATATAGGAATCGGAAATATGATATGCAAGTGTTACTTAAGCTAATTTTGACGTACAATATTTACTTTGGATGCATAATTTATGAAGTATTAAACTTTCCGAAATCCTGCACCGGCAAAGCATTTGCGATTAGTGTGGCAAATAAATATGAGCACGACATAACTGTATCGATTGCCGATTCAAATAATGAATTCAAAAGGTAAAGTTGTCACATTTGCTCAAAGAGTCATTATTCACGTACAAACTGTTTTGCGTCCTACTTCTTATCATAATACAAATCTGTCAATCTGTTTATTTCTTCATAATTGCGACAATGCGAGAATTGCAAGGATCATTTTGCGTACCGCGAGAAATAAGTTTCTTCGTCGCTCTATGAGATAAAGATGAGCGTTTTCATTTCTGCGTACAGCAAACATGCTTGTCGACTCGATTTACTCAATAGTTCCAGTAATGAAAGACGATATTATTCGGACGTTTATTCGCGATCGTGCCACCACTTCACTCGACGATTCACGGCGGACAAACCCAAGGTTCGTGACATGGAAAACAAAATCTATGCGCGTATTGAGATTCCCATGTTTGCAAATATTTTATGTTAATCTCGTGTATTAGGTAGGAAATAAGACGTTGGCCTCGCTGCAGCGTTGGAAAAGCGCGATAAGACATCTCCAGCCGTACTCTCAAATGGACAGCGATATTTATCGGCGAAAGTTGCTTAGTTACGAGCAAAACTTTTTCGGAACTCGCCCTACAAGAAATAGCAGGTTTCATAACGGGATACGCCGCGAAGTCACCCTGGCAGAAACGTCGGGTTTAACGGAGAGGAAGCGCGGTGCCGCGGCAAAGGATATTGAGACGAACGACGAAGATATAGGTGATAAGATAATGGAGAGGACAATGTCAAAAAAATCATTGAACAGAAAGAAATTCGTTTCTTCGAAATCAAGGGTTAATTTAAAAATGTTCGCGTAACATGATGGTTCAAACTAGGAAGTCTAGAAAATAATGCCTAATCTTTTAGTGATTTACGATAATTGATTAAGTACATATATGTACGATAAATGATTGCAATACCTTCTGTGACGTTAAAATAGCGGATTTAGATAGCAAATGTTAACGAACGACAGTAATTCTATAAAAATAAAATAACGGAGAACTAGACGTTATACATTACACGTGAAATTAACGTAACAGAAGTATATAATGCAATAGAAAGTGTTTTATAAATGTAAGCATTGTAAAATAAATTCCCGGTTTCGCAAGTTCGCCGGTTTCATCGTTTCGCAAAACAAAGTCTCCTTTAGCTATTTACTACTTTTCGCGGCGTTCACATGAGATCGAAGTAATGTCGAAGTAACGAAAAAAAGTAAAATTGTAATTCTTTCCCTCTTTGCCTCTCACTATAGATTCGGCGGCGTGGGACAATTGGAGTATCTGGAGCGCGTGCAGTGTAACTTGCGGGCAAGGACGACAGGTCCGTTGGCGTCATTGCACGTCCACGGATTGCATCGCAGGTCTTAAGAAGGCGCAGTTGAGAAGCTGCCGTTACAAAGATTGCGCTACCAAAGGCTTCCTCGGCTGGCTGGGGATAAAATCGTAATCTGTTTGCAGCTTGCGAAAGAAGGCAATCGACAAGCCCCCTCGACATTATTATGTCGGATGGTGCTAAGAGGTATCGAGAATGCACAAACAAAGGAATCGTCTGTGAACTACCAAGAAAAGAGGGCTTCCATTACATTTTTCTACGAAATAAAAATTGTCTTGAACCAACAACGAAAATACAAAATTGTAGACGTTGGCCCGATAAACACATGACGGCAAAATAATATAAAAATGATATAATTATACTTTTATATTAACTGCATTTAATAAACGTTTAGTAGCATTTAATCTAGTGTACCATTGTGTGTTTATTGAGTAGATAATTTCTTTAATGATAAATTATTTCACTTTGTTTTTTAGGATTGTATTGTGACGGCAAAAATTAGAGTTTAAAAAGCAGATTTGAAATATATATATTATATATTCATACATTTAATGTGCGCAATGACATATGTATGTATCTGAAAATATTAAACTGGGTCGAATTTTGAACTGTAATACACAAAGATATTTCTTTTCATGACTATTTTAGAACAACAGTATATGTAATAATTGTTTGTTCAAAACTCAATAGTTAATGTGGATTACTTCAACGTGAATATAGGTTTAATGACGTAGAACAAACTTCGATGCAATAGATATATTATTCTGTAATCTGTAATATTCCACATGTCAACGACGATAACAAAAAATATATGGATAGAAGTCGATTGATCTTTACTTATCTTGCTGTACTCCTGCTCTTTATAGGTAATTGTTACAAAACGCTTATAATTCAGATGCAGCGCATCATTGTCTATGCAAAATAACTTACCAGTTATAGGCTCTAAAGAAGTCGTTTCGAAAAATGACAAAGTATCGTCAATTATGACACCAGTCGTCAAAAGTGATATCGACACATTGAAAATGAAGTCTGACAGATTCCGACGCAAAAGTCATAATACATTTCGTGATATCGACGATGAAGACGAAGACGATATTCGGCCGCCGATAAAACGAGGTAACAATGCGATTTCGATTGCGTATATAACTATATCACTTGCCAATTAAAAAATATGATTAAAATATCTTTAATATAATTGAAGATTAGGAATTACAGTGAAAAACATGCACATTGTTGAAATATACCTGTATATTGCCATTTATATTATCATCAATTTTCACAATATGTATTATTGTACAATCAAATTTAGATAATCTATAAAATCTTTATTTGTACATGGAAAGAATTTTCTCTTAAAATTTATCCTGAAAACATCGCACTTCGAAAAACTCTCAGTGTATTGGAAAATTTCAAAAAACTCTCATAAAGTTCTTGGAAATACCATGTCCTGCGATTACATGATTTTCAGGATAAATTTTGAAAGAAAATTCTGTCCGTGTTTATTGTAAACGTTAATAATTCTTTTGATTAGCATCTTATGTCATCGCAAAGTTATTTATATTAAATAGACTTGTAAAATAGCGGATAACATATGTCAGGCGCAAAAGAAATCACGATTTATTTAAAAATATGATAAGTAGACGCGCTAAAGGTGAATATCTGCACGGGGGTAATAAATAAATAAATAAATAAGAGTGGGCGCAAATGGTGCGCAATTGCGGGTCGTATACCGGTCGGTGATTGTGACTTTCTCCGAGACCGGTTCAAGATTTACCTTCCCGCGGTACTGATCATCGAAACGAACAACATTTGGGCGTCGCGTGGATGGAAATTTCCACGAGCTGCATGGCTGGAATATCTTTTCTTTCTTACGACATCGTACCATGGTTTGAAATTCTTGCAATACGAGCAATGAGAATGTCATGTGCAGCACCGCGTAACATATATATATACTATATATTGCCTTATCTGAAGAAAATGATCTATGCTCCATTAATTTTTCAATCACTGAATTCAATAATGCACAATTAAAATTTGTAACAATAACAAGTAAGATTTAACGCAATAGAAATTTTCATTGGCTGTTTGACCGTTTCGTTTAATCAGAAATTTTTGCATTAGCAAAACTTCCTGCGAATTGACACTGATTGTAGAACAATTCTTCAAATTCTTTGGCAACATCTTATATAACTTATCTTTTTTCTGATGTAATAATTATAAATCGCATTAAAGAAGAATAATGAAGATAGAGGAAGAAATATCTCTTGATTCCTTATTACTAGAATCTGATTTAACTGGGATTGTATATATGTGTGCGTATATGTGAAGCACGTATAAAGAATAAGTGAAAGTGATATATATATATATATATACATAATAAAATTTTAGTAATGCCAGCAAGTTTCCGCGCGTGTACTTAAAATGCTCTGTAACTTTTAGCTCCACGCTCTTTTTAAAAGGAACCAACTCGTTACTATACTAAGTGAAAGTTATCAAGTATATTTAGAGTTTACTGAAATATTTTCTTTTTTTAATATATAAAGTCTTTCACGAACACTTTTGTGGCAATAATAATCGCATTTCGTAGAATCTGTGTTTTGCTTTTCATATAATTATTACTTTATATGCACCTTTATATTATTATACCGATAGACAGAGTATTTGGTTGATGGACAGTCTTGATATTTTCTAGTCATTAGAATTTGATTCTAATTATTATTCTAATGAAGATTAGCTTTTTTATTCACGTTGTATTAGTGGAGTAATTGGCGTTATATTATTTCAGAAAAAAACAGCAGGGAACCAAAGATATGGGACCAATGGGGCAATTGGTCCACGTGCAGTGTCACTTGTGGGATAGGAAAAATTATGAGATGGAGGCACTGCATAGGCGGACGTTGTTCCTTGGGAGAGAAGAAAGCTCAATTGAAAACTTGCACCTCTGCAGCATGTTAAGACATTTTGCATGCACAATATAACTTTAAAAAGTTAGCTAAAATAATTCGCCATATATAGCTGAGAATGAACTGAGATTGTAACTAATTTATATAATCAGAACGCGAATTGAATAAACTCAAGAAACGACTATCTAGTTTTACTCTAAAATATATTTTAAAGATAAGACTGAAAAAAAATCATCTTGAGTTAAACTTTTTCAGTTGATTCCAATATTTCCCTTAACTACTTATAGGAAAATAATTTTATGTTACCATTTATAATGAACCTGTCAGTGAAAACCTTGACAGTTCCCAGTAAACGCTAAATTTATGGTTACGTAACATCCATATAATTTCCTACTCCACTCCCTAATGTAATTCTCATGTACAACATGTGTTATATTACATATATTACATTTATTGTTGAGTGAAAACACATAATACATTGTTATGTAACTGTTACTTAATGTTTACTGGGTTACTTGCAACCTTTTCTATTGCACAAAGAAAAAAGTAAACGGCTATTTTGAAAAAAGTGTATCACAGCGTGCAAAAATGTATGACTTAATTTTGTTAGCGCGTTATCATTCGAGCCAATGTAATTTACACGAAAAAGAATGTGAAAGTTCCAGAGAAGTTGCAGTGCAGACTCGTTATTTCTACAGGGTAAACTTTATCGTCCAAGTGAATCATAATTTCGATCATGATCACCGACCAATCGCTGAGTAAGTCAATTTAAATCAGTAGTCCGTTAATATTTTCTCCTTCTTACAAATTTGAAGTCAAATCTATACAAAAACAGCACATCGTGTATCACAAAATCTTACTAATCAAGCGGCCGCTTGATTAATAAACGATCGATAAATGACCAAGACACATGGAATAAAAATCCGTTATAGATTTATTTGTCACGTTTTTCAATCAACTTTGTTTTCTGGCATAAACATTACTCTAATCTATGTAAAATTATAAATACTTTTCTTAACGCAACAACAGGTAACTCGAGCTTTCTCTTACACATTTTTTATTCCCTTTGAAAGTAGTCATCAGACCTATAAATTATAGGCGATTTATATGTCGGCATTGCACTTGATGCGACAGGTTCCTGAGCTTTTTTCTGAAAAAGTAATTCAAGTAGCGTCAGGTTGCTATCGTCCAATTTCATGGATGACAGTCGCATAGAAAAGTGCCGAATTGTTTAGTAACTTAAAGCACACGGTAAGGATGTATCCTTTGAACAAGTTGTACTTACAAAAAATGATAAAGGGTTTAATATCCCGAATAATCTGTCGGATACACCTAGGTCAGCCTCGGCCTTGTCCACAGCAGCTTCCAGCGTACTCAAATTCATGTTGGCCATTGCGACCACGTGCTCCAGTGCGTCGATCCTCTTGCGAAGAGCTGCCATACCCTCCTTCATGTGCTGTAACTTTGGGAGATGTTGCTGCATGCATTCGGCGCTGCTATTCTCCACCTTGCGGGACAGAAATACTTGAGTTTGAGAGTCGCAATATCTAGTCGTTCATACTCTATCCGCATTCCAGGCTAACCATTGAAACAATCGATTGGAACTCCTCCAGCCGTATCAGCGTGTCCTCTATGATATCGTGGACACTTTTCACCTGGAACACGAGCATGAGTTTACTTAACAGCCCCTCAAACAACGGGACGACAACGTATCGTGGCAAAAGTGGCACACTCGCCTGATTGTTCCAGTCCACTTTTGCGTAACTCGCGTAGTCTTTAACCAATTGCTCGGTCAGCTCCGTCGTATGGGAGGATGACATCTTTAATGCTATTTTAATTAAACAAATAGGTATGCGTGTACTATTGTAGGTTAGGAAATGTAAGCGTATACACGTGAAACGTCCCGCTAGCGCGTCGACAAACGACGAATGTAGGCCGACAGCTCTGACATATCGCTCGTGATGAATGATACGTTGGCTCGCGATCCTAGGATCATTAATTTGAAAATACGTATTTCCTGTTTTCTGTCGTGGGAGGCACAGGTGTCAACGATACTATGCGCTGCGAGTGCTACGGAGGCTCGTCGCGCGCGCGACATCTTCAATTTCTTATAATTGCAACAGATTATCTAAAATAGTAAGTATTGTTTCACAACTTGAGGTACGCTCTTTTAATTAGATTGAGAAATGAGATTCTTGTAAAAGCACGTAACCCGAACAATCTTTCATATGTAATGATACACGAAAACTTTATTTTCGGCGTAACTAAATTGAATTAAATTTAATTAATTGGAAAATTTGGCGTAAAAATTGCTTGGTTCAAATATTTGTGCTCTGTTGACGTTATTTATCTGACAAATAGAAGAATTCTAGCGTGATCTATAATTTAACGAATCTGAGGGTTAATTATATATTTTATAAACACATGGAAAGAAACGCAATCGTAGAAAGAACAAGAAAAGACACTGCATTACATTAGCTGTTTATTCAATATGAAAATATTAAAACAATATTTTATAAACGATATCTAGAATTTCGTAAATTGCAGTACATCCACGATAATATTCTACATTGGAGAGAAATATATTTATTAATGTACACATTATACATATATAATTATATTAAATGTGTATAATAATACATACATTAAAGATTAAACATGATATTATAGTTCAAATAATTTTCTTGCTTTATGTATCTAAAATGTGATTTTAGATAAGATACAAGATGAGACGTAATTAATTAATTACAAAATTACAGTTATTGAGTTAAGAAATATATAATAACTGTAATTACACATATGCAAAACAAGTTTTAGATAAACATTTAAATAAAGTAACTAGATTCTTATAATTAGATACTTTACGTCAGTGGTTATCATTTGATATATAATTAACTGCAATCTTGCTAGACGCCAATTGCATAATGTATTTAGACTGGTACACGTATAGAGAAAAGTGTCCTGTCACAAGATAGGCTCCTAATATGAGATAGCGGGGTTTCTGTTAAATTAATAGGCGTCATCAGTTGATTCCACCATGAATTTCTTGTAGGGAAATCTGTTTACTTGGAAAATTTCTTGTTGGATTGCGTAATCGTTGCGAAAATGGATTTATGATTGGGTGTTGAAAAACTGCTGTCTCATAATAGAGGACTTTCTTTACATGCGTACAGTGGAACCAGAGTCACGCACGTGAAGGATATTACCAATGATGAAGACGCTAAAAATGTTATTAGACTCTACTTTTTACTTAGAATTTAATAAAAAGATTAATTATCATGAAACGTTAAAAATTACAATATTTTTCTAAATACACAATGAGGTATAAAATAATTATTATTCAATATTTTAGTCTTTTAGATGTATATTGCATAAAATATTCATCCAACGCATAATTTAAAAGTAAATAAATAATATTATAATTAAAAAATTAAATTATATAATATACGACAAAACATGTTTATTTTCTAGCTACATAGTTTATAATTTAACGTGAATCTTCGAACGTATCTCTCAAAAATTACCTGTTGATTGAGACTTTGGTTCACAACACGCGATATTCTTTAAACTTCTTCAGATTTCTCAGTATTCGCTGTACGCAAACGTTATATGCAAACAAGTATCTGATGTGAGAATATTTCGTTGCATATATTGTAATTAAACCTGTTTTGCTCATCATAATTACAATGTTATTTTTAAGTCTCGCGGTGAGTTTTCTATGTTAAAAGGAGATGTTACTGGCGTTAATATCGAACAGTTGAGACAATTCTCTTCCGCGATGTTATATGTGTCATGTTCCTCATCAGTTAACCTTTTTAACTATTTATTATTCGTAAAAATTATCGTAAGACAATAAGAAAAAATAAATAATTACGAGCAAGTACATAATACCTCAGTATTTGATTAGTGCATATTCGCAGAAATTTCTATATAAATTGCCCGAAGATATTGTTCTAGTTAATGATAAATACAGTTTAGCCTGTACTTGTTTCAACAGTACGTCTAGTAGATAAAATGCCATGGATTTTAACGATGTTGTTTACGCATTTCCATTTTTCATTTAATTGTATACGCTGAGAAATCTGACAAATAATATTACTATGTCTGTGTTTTTTTTGTAACAATGTCTATACATTAATTTGTATAATTTTTAATTTTATGTTGCATTATTCATCGATCAAAGCTTTTTAGCTTGCATTATTGATAAATTACACTGTTTTCCAGCCTTTTTACCATGCGTTTATACAAGTAAATTTAAAATTCAATTTTGGAGTTATTATTTATTGAGAAGTAATACAGCAATAAACCTCCAAGAGACATAAATTAATGCTTAAATGATTAAAGCAATAATGAGATAATTATTAATATTTAATAACAGTACATTAAATAGCAAATAAAAACTTGTATTATTGTCAAAGACTACAACTAGTCAAGAGTTATTTCTTACAAATGGTTACAGTTCTAGTATGTTAATGCTGTTTAATTGACTTTTATTCATTATTATAATTGTGACACAAAAATAATGCTGTAAAAGTCTTTCATTAAATTACATAATGTTAGAATAATGTTCACTCATTATTGCGCACTCATTGTCAAAAGAAATACATATATTATACTTTAAGGAAATTGTATTTATAATAAGTAGAAGTAAGCATTTTGCCTTATTTCAATATTTAATATTATTAAAAGAAAAATTCCAACACGCGGAATAAGTTATATTTAAAAGGAAATACTTCTAACATCTTGAAAATAAATTATACTGAAAATATTAATATTCAATAGTGTGATCGAATAACGAAGAAATACTTACAAAATATTTTTTGAAGATTAAGATTGTTTAGACATTTATTTAGTCGTGTAACGTTATTGATTTGTATTACGTAATCTATTTATTCAATGGAAATCTATTGGGATATGCACTGATCAAACAGTAAATGTATTATGTGCTTGCGCCATAGAAATTTCTGCGAATATGCACTAATCAAATACTGAGGTATTATGTACTTGCTCGTAAAAGTGCATGGCCTCTCCGCCAGAATGATATAAAAAATATATTCAAATGTCATTGTCAGTGTAAACTGAAACTTAAACCTAAACAAATTTTAAATTCTTGCAATTTGTTTCTTGCAAGTACACACACATTCACTCACTCACTTACAACACTTTTCTTAAATTGGTAATATTATGCAACTATTAACGAGTTTCAATAATTTCTCACATTTAGTACACTTTCACTATCTACTACGTAGAATTGTACAAAAATAAAACTACGCTTTATAAAGTAATAAATAGTAAACTGGTTTGCTGGTCTATTAATTGGTGCAACAGTTTTTATTTAAATCATATTTTTTTCGATATCAAAAAGAACATATGTTCAATAGTGTTCAAAAAGATGCAATTTTTGAAGCGAACGATCAGCAACATATAAGCAAGGAATCTATCTTAATTATATTTTATAAGAAGCTGCTACAGGTGAGGCCAGTTTTATTTGAGATAGGTAAAGTTTAGTTAAGACCACGATAAAAAATGTCGTAACAAGAGGACGGAATATTCCCTATTCAATTCTGAACTCCTATATGACATAATCCTCTGACGCAAATGCATACCGCATGTCGTTATACGTCGAAGAAATGAGGTTTTGCCATAGATATGTGACAATAGCAATTAATATATTTCTTTAATAGTTTAACTAAGATAGGTTAAAGGCTAAGCTAATTAAAAACTTTTATTATCTATTGTACATACAATACATTCATAATATTTTCTTGAAACTTCGAATATTGACTTGCAATCAATGGCATGCATTGCGCAGCGAGTATTATTGAAAGGAAATCAATTTTCTATGTCCCTATATGTGAATACATATCTCTTCGTGCAGAAGAATTTTATTGGTCATTAACCACAACATAATAATACCAAGAAATTTTTTAAATAAAAAGATTTATTTAAGCATTCTTTACTCTAGCGTTTATATATTATTTTCAATTAATAAATTGTTCAAAACTGATTAAATTATTTCCAAAGTAATATTGCGAAATTTTGCTAATTATAATTTACGTAGGATAAATAAGGTAAGACAAATTATCATAAAATATTTTACAGTTGTCAACTTTGCAAATTAAAAAATGTTTTAGATACTTGTAAATACATTTCGATGGACGACTGAATATTTTACAAAACTTATCTGCAATAATATCTCATATTATATTAAATCAGTAATTAATATATATTTCAGGGTAGTTTTTTAATTAGGTATTATTTCATGAATCATGGTATATTCTATTTATAACACATTCCTCTTGACAACTTATCGCTGAATGTCTAGTCATCTTATAAAGAGTTGAAAGTTGTTCTTGGAAATTTAATTACGATTCTCGATATAAACCCTGATTATTTCATGAATTTTCCTCGACTATTTATAAAACACATTACGAAATTAAAATATCCGGACGCTGACGTATGATGTCGACATTTCTCTTCCCGCGATACGCACAATAAGTAAGAAACAGACTACAAAAGCGAAAGGTTTCTTTATGTCTACTATACCCTTCATCCTCACTCACTTGGAATCTGAATTGTATGTTTGGAAATTATACAGGAACCAGCGTTACGGGCTCACTACAAAAGCGAAAGGTTTCTTTATGTCTACTATACCCTTCATCCTCACTCACTTGGAATCTGAATTGTATGTTTGGAAATTATACAGGAACCAGCGTTACGGGCTGACAACGAGTAACGAGCGATGATTATCGGTGATAATTCGAATGCACGTTTTTAAATTTCACGACACACGGCGCAATTTAAAATTGCAATTAAATCAAGTTTCTTTCGAGATCTAATGCCTCCTATTCGACGACGCAGAATCTTCTTGTACAACATTGTCACTGCAAAACCGGGGACTCGATGTCCCGAATATGGCTAGACGAGAACATTGTGAAAGGTAACTGGACGATAGCTCGCATCGGTCAATAGGTCCGCATACGAAGATAAGCGGAAAATTCTTACAAGATCAAATACACTCAATATGAGAAAACGTGCTTATTATTTTTTTCATTTACTCTGTACCGAGTCTTTCTATTAACTTCCTGATATACGATGAAATTTTTATCTCAAATATATTCTTTGTAAGTTGTTAAAGTACGAGAAAAAAATTATGATAGGTGTAATTAAAAAAGAATTATTATTAATATATTGATACAACTATAAATATTTAAAAAATGGAACAAAGTTGGAACAAAATTTTCGGATGCGTCAGTTTTAATTGACTTATCCGGAGATAGAAAAAAATTAAAAAACTATTTTTATATTTATATGTACAATGTACATACATAATTATAAGATGCAAATTTACTGCGTGTATTTTAAATTACAGAGAAGAAAATGAGAGGAAAAAAATTGAAATATGAACATGTGGTATTTCCATTTTCATCTATATTGTACTTATGTTAACGGAATAGGTATACGTAAAAAAATTTTAATAACGGATATTCCATTAAACCAATGACTATTTTATAAGACAAGTTCACAAAATATATACAATGTGTATATTTTAAGATCTTTCTTTCTTGCTGATTCCCTCTCTTTTACCTATACAGTATTTTTATTTAGTAGGTTTTTATTCAATAAATTACACAAAAGACTGATCAAGAAAATGAAAACTTATCAATTTCCTTTGCTTTTGTGAACAGGTATCGTATAGTGGAAGTTATCGAAACGGAGATTGTATCTGTTTTGCAGAGAAAAAATTGGTGGTGCAAAATAATAAAAGTTATAACAATCGATATTTTTTTGCTTTACGATTTTGTCTAATTACTTTGATTATTTGTGAGGAGATAAAAAGTTCTTTTTTTATTTCCATAATATTTAGTAATAACAGTGTATTATAGAATATTCGAATAAATAAAATATATTGTTAAATTTAAAGTTCAAGTTTAGAGTAGCTTCCAGAGTTTTCACGAAGCTGCAACGAGTATTACATCGCTATTTTCAGGTCAATAACCTCAGGTAGGCGGCTTTCACATTCACCTAATATAATCTCATGATCCGCCTCATCACACCTATGCATCTTGTTGAATAATACGTTTCATATGTAATTTAATAGGATAACTTGAATATTAGACGCTTCTGACAACGTAAGCAGAGATGATAGCGAATATGATGCGCCGCGTAATAAGCTTGTCAATAAAATCATTTAGTAGACTTGTCAATTAACTGTTTTTATAGACTGTTGTGCTAATGGTTTTCACAGTAATAACTTTGACAACGAAATACAATGTATATATTCTTTAATTAGACCTTATATAAAATATATGTAAATTTTTGTTTTATTCCACCTCTATTCAATTACTCAAAATTTATGCAGCTTATCTTCTTAAGTATTTATCTTTATATTTCCTAATAATTTATAATGTGTTATTAGATCACATTTTTAGTGACTATTTTAAACAAAATTTCAGATTAATGGAAACAGAATCGAGCCAAATAATACTAAGTTAAGAGAGCGAGAGAGAAGAAGCATATAAATACATACAATTCTTTTTCATTACGAATCTCTCTTAGAGAATCTTCTACAGTACTTTTTATTCTTGAAAAATTAGAATTATATTTCTTGCAAACACACTGCATTTCATGGAATGTTATGAAAATAGCTTTTGAGTTTTCCTTTTTAGTTGTTGTAATACAATTATAATTAAAATATTTTATATTTCACTTCCTTCTATTTTGCTATTCACTATTTGAAATAGTTTTCCACAAATAATATTTTATGTTTTATGTTTCAACAATATCTTTCCCCGCTAATAAAATATTGAAATATATATCTTTTGCCTTATTTTCGTTAAAAATAAAGAATAAGATGTAATAAAAATTAAATTTACATAATCTTCTAGAGATTTATAATAATAAAGTGTTTAAGACTATGTACTTAATATTTCTTTTATTTCTTTAGCTTGTTATTTGTTTAAAACACTGATCGATTTTCTTAAATATCATTCTATTGCACTCAATCTCGTAAAATTATTTGCATAAATTATTACGGCAATTTCGTCTTTTTATACTTATTTCGTATATTTTCTTTTCATTAAGCCCATTTAATTTCTTGCTGCACTCGTGGACAATCTTGTGCGAATCTACGAATGGTGAAGGTGCGTGAACTCTTTATAGGAGCGAGAGTGGAAGAAAACGGATATACCGGCTGGTTAGGTTACTCTCTCGACAAGAGAGAGAACAGCGCTGTTACCAAACGTAATAGCTTTCCGCTAATAAACATCAAACCGTTTTGATGCTTATTAACGGAAACCGTTTCGACGCAGACAGGTATGAATATAATAATACAATATACAAACCAGTAATATCTTTTTCTCGCGACTCTTGCAGACATAATTGAGACAAATAAAATGTTTATTAAAGCTAACGACTTACATTCGATACAGCTATGTCTTTCGGTAGTAAAGGTAATATATATTGCATAAAACACATTAGATCTTTTTGTTTGAGAGTTCGAGAGAAAGACTTTGAATGGTATTGGTTATAGTCCAGTTTATATTTCCTATTTCATTTGAAATAACGACTGGAAAATTGACGTAAAAGAAAGAAAACGTTATTATGTGTCTCGGTGTGTGCTGCTATAGCAGGTGGGGAGAGAAACAGAAAGAGAGAGATCGGCAGGTCGTTCTACAACAGTACAACTTTCAGCACGGATTACGAAGGGGCTCAGTAAGTTCGCGGGCACGGCGTACGCGCAACCCAGTCTTCGCAGAGCAACAGGGACATCGCACTAATCGCAGGCGATCGAAGGATTAAAACGAACGCGTGGAGCATTGACTGGTATGGTATTTTGTATTATCCTCTGCACGTGAACCAACATTAATTTCAAACAGAATCATTTTGATTGATGATTTCCGACTAATCTTTTTTTTTTCAATCAAACTTTCACTCAAAAATGGAATTGTATGGTGGTCAATAAATGGACTTAATATTTTTAATTAAAAAATGACGCCTGTTAGTATTAAAATATCAATTAAAGTTAGTTTCTATTAATCGTATCCGAGTATAAACACTGGATTTTGTTAAATTTTAGACAATCTATAATTTGTGTCGGATACATTTTTATTCTTTTTTTAATTCTTTTTATAACTTTATAAATGCAACAATATTATAAACACAGTAATTAAACACGAGTTCACTCAGCATTAATTAAATTATAGTAAAAAACGTCAAACTTATGTAGCAGAAGAAATGTAAAACATTTACAAATATGATTAGTTAAGCAAAAAGATGGTATTTGATAGGCAAATGTTTTGTTAATTTAATTTTTGCGTTGTGCTATGTAATTATATTTTTTACACCTTTGTACAGATTTAAACGACAATAATCATCAAATGAATCGTTTTTCTGACAGTTTACACATATTTCTCCCTGCTTCTTTCGCTCTTTCTTCTTTTCTTTTATTTTAATTGCTTGACTTTAAAGTTCATAAAATTATATGTGTATGAAGCACTTTAGACCTCTTTGACATTTATCTTTTCAAGAATAAATCTTCATGTGTCATCTCAATTTACCTATGCAAGTTCCTGACATATTGGTTGTTTACTGAGTAAATCGTCGTCATGCTAAGACTAATACAAATTTTAATGTGGTACGTGACGCAACAATGAGCTGCAAGTTTGCACGACTCTTGTAAATTACGTGCGTAGGTTCTAGTGTGTAGAGGCATGCACTTTCTTCATTGGATAAAACGATGTATAGATAACTCGAAAAACTGCATTGCCGCATTTGTTCGCATTATTGCATTACATAACGGAGTGCGTAACCGAGGTAGTCTCTGTAATAATTTATGTGAATTGAATGCGAGTAAAAGCGAATAAACAAACTAAGTAGATAAGTTTAGAGATATCTCAGATATGCATATATCACGCTCGACTTATGTTACTTTCACTTTAAACAATTATGTAATAATTTAAGGTGTAACTTTTGGTATCAAGCAATTTGTAACATGAACAATAAGAGTATTATTTTAATGAAACTATAAGCTTTTTTTTCGAAACTAAATAAAGGAGATAACATCAAAGTACGTAAGACACCGAAAAAATAAAAGGAATTCATGAATTACATGCACATAGAAAATTAAAGTGTTCTTAGTCGCAGTCGATTTAACAAATTCCCAACAAATAGATCATTGACTTTATACCATTAATACTGTTAATAGTAAAATTTGTACATTTGTAGCGAATTTGTGCACTTTAAAACGTTTATACAAAATTTAATAATATATAACTCATTTCTTTCTTTTTTAAATATATCGTTAAGAAAGAGTAAGTCAAGTTTTACTTTAAAATATATTTTAAAAGCAAGCATAGAAAACTATCTTGAATTAAATTTTTCTAATTAATTCCAATATTTTTCTTAATTCTGTATTTTCGTAACCGTTTAGAAGGAATAACATATTACCAGTTTCAAAGATGAAGTAGTTTTTATGTCAATTGATCATGAACCTGTTACTCTTGATTATGAAAACCTTGACAGTATATTTGCAACCTTTTCCATTGAATGGGACGAAAAAATTTTAAGAGCGAACGGCTAGTTTAAAAGAAGTGATTTGCGGTTGCGACTTGTATAACTTCACTTTATCAGCGTCCTGTTATTCGAGCCAATTTAGTTTATTGCAAAAGGAAACGTGAAAGTGCAAGAAATGATGAATACGAAAATGCAGACCAGACTCGATACCTATACATGACGAACTTTATCAATCGCCCAAGATTAGCGAATCATGATTTTGATTTTGAGCATGATCAGTGATCGCTGAGTAAGTCAATTTGATTAGGCACTGATTATTATGGCATTGATGCCTGTGTCATGTGGTCAGCAGATATTTTCTCCTCTTTTCAAATTTGAAATCATATCTAATATGCAATCATGACAGAAACATTTCAATCATCATCGTGCGTTGTTTTTCTCTGCAAAGTTTACTTTATACTTTAAATTTGTCAAATTTGATGTACGTATACGTTTACAATCAGTAAGAAAAAGTACAATAAGTGTCCTTTTGTTAAGAAGAGAATATAAAATATTGTTTTAATGAAACTTTTATGGTTTTAAATGACTACGTAAGTGACAATGAACAATCACGTACACATTTACAATTAATATAATATGTATCTAGCTTAATATTACATTAATTTTTAAGCACACTATGAAAATGATTTTAAACGTTTATTTTCAAGCATACGTAAGTAATGTATAGCACATTGCACAGTTAGTACACTGCGTAATTAATAGTTTATAGAATTAATATATTCAATATACTATAATATTTGTTACTAAATTTATTTTATATTATAAAATGTGTATTGCTTTTATTTTTGCGCATACCTCGTCAGCGCATGTTTCGTCAGAGATGCTTGTAATGTCTTTGATTTCTCTGAAAAGATTTACTATCCTGGATATACATAAAACATTCTACCAAAACGATTATGTTTTTTCACGCTTACAAATATATTTGACATTTTCTTTAAATTCTTTCTTACGATTTAGTAAAAGTAACCGCAAAGTTGATTGATAATTTATACGTACATTATACAGGCATAAAAGTATTTATATATTTCTTATTATACAATAGAATACATGTGAAGACTTTTAGTTTTATGGGAACATTAGGCTCAACCGCATTGAAATGTTCAAAAGTTTCTTCAATAAACATAACTGTCACATAAACTCGTGGATTTATTTACGATTATGGAGAAAAGTTTGTAACATTCCAAATCAGACCAAATTACAATTATTCGAGTGCAATTGATCGACGTTTCACCGATTTTCTCTTCTCTTTCTGCGATTCTTATTCGCTCGGCGATGTGAAGTTAATAGAAGGCTTTTACAGGAAAATGATGCGCTGCGGTAAAATGACAGGCCGCCAAGTTAATTTGCGAAATTTATGATCTACCATATGCAGTAGAGACGAGAGAGGAAGGGAGATAATTACGGGAACAAATTCGAAAAAATGTGTATGATGAATATGCAACGTTGCGCTTAGTTATGACGCTCACAATGCAAGCGGTATAAAGATTAGGTGCTGTGAATTGAATTCGCGCGGTTTATTACATGTTTTACTAATAAAATCTCTCTCTTTATTTATTTATCTATCTGACTTAATCATTAATTTCTTAATATATGTACTAAAATTTTTATAATGTTTCAGTTCACAACCATGGAGGAAAAAGTAACAAAGTCCGAAATTCAATCCTTCTACATAGGCAAGACCGTTTTTATTACTGGCGCTTCTGGATTCATGGGTAAAGTTCTCTTGGAGAAATTGCTGTATTGCTGTTCCGATCTCGACAAAATCTACGTTCTCATGCGTATGAAGAGAGGCCGTAGTGTCGAAAGTCGGCTTGACGACATGTTCAAATTGCCTGTAAGAAACCCATGCAAATTACGCTACCATCGTCCAAGTAGTATTACGCAAAATAATATCGTGGCAATCTTTTAGCATGGATAGTTTTATTTTCTGTTAATTACTGATGCTCAAAACTATTATTGAGAATCTCATGGTTAAATAAAAAGCTATATAAAGAATATTTTACGAGCGTATAATTCAATAAAGTCATATATTTTGAGATTTAGAATTTTTATTTAAAACAATACCATTGTGTTATAAGAATTTTTAGTTGCATAGTATACGAGAATCTTCGAACACACGTGAAAAATTAGTACATAAATCTGTTTTGGATAAATTCAACATTATTCGAATTACGAGGTATCTTAAAATGAAATGGTAATGCGTGCATCATATGCATTTGTGCAAACAGTAACTAATAATTACTAATAATTGATATTCTTATAGCTGTTTCAAAGATTGCGGAATGAGAAACCTAATCTTTTTAAGAAAGTGATACCGCTGAATGGCGACATATGTTTGCCCGATTTAGGTCTCATCGATCAACAACGAGAGCTCTTAATAAATGAAGTAAATGTGGTATTTCACTTCGCCGCGACACTTCGACTGGAATCGAAATTGAAAGATGCCATTGAGATGAACACGGTAAAATATTATTTGCCATAAAGAAGTCTCAACCATTATTTTTAGAATTCCATTCGTGTGTTTCATGTTGATTGTTAATATCAAATCTGGTACGCAATCTAAAGTATTTATGATCATTTTTTAACTCCATGTTCAAGCGGTATTTTAAATAATGAAAAAGTCGGTAAGACAATATTGTGTCAATTAAATTGAGACGACAAAACATTTAGTTGAATTTGATTACGATATATTTTTTAGAACTTAATTTTATAATATATGCGTAATACTTTTGATAATTTCTAAAATACATGAAGTTCGAATAATCTTTAAGACAGGTACACAAAAAGTACTGGATGTGGCAAAAGAAATGAAGCATCTAGAATCCTTCGTGCATTTAAGCACAGCTTTCTGTCACGTCGATCAAGAGGAACTCGGTGAGCGTACCTACGACTCGCCCGATGATCCTCAAGATATCATGAGACTTGTTCAGTGGTTAGACGAGGAGGGTATCGATCTTATTACGCCCAAGTAATTAAACTTGCGACATTATTAATGATATTCGACAGATTAATGATAAGCGTATCAGACGGGTACAATTCACTAATATTAATTATAAAATCAATTACAATAAATATTAATTATTATTGTATAATAATGATTGCACTCTTGATCAGCTTATTATGCTGAAGTATCTAAAATTATGCGTATTAATTTAAAATTAATACATATATTAATATTATTAGTGTATGTATTAAAGCGATTGTTTCTCTCTGTCAATTGACTTAATTAAAAATTATAATTAACATAATTAAGTTAGATCATATATTTATTAAAGATGTAAGTATTAAATTCTACATATCCACATTCTTATTTGTAGATTATTACATCCACATCCAAATACTTACACGTACTCGAAACGTTTAGCAGAAACGCTGGTGGCCAACGAATACCCCAATATACCTTGTTGCATCGCTAGACCATCGATCGGTAATCAAAAAATATTTTAAAAATTACCTGATATTATAAAAATAATGTTTCGATGCTTCTAAATAAAGAATTACAAAAATTAATTCATGTTTTTGTACAGTAATACCTAGTTACGAAGAGCCGATGCCAGGATGGGTCGATAACTTAAACGGACCAATTGGATTGATGGTCGGTGCAGGCAAAGGTGTTATCAGATCAATGCACTGCAACGGCAATTATCACGCCGAAGTTATACCAGTAGATTTCGCGATTAATACATTAATTGCGATTTCATACAAACTTACTACTGATAAAAAAAAGTAAATAGCTTTGTTCTATCGTATATTATTTTTTCCCTTAGTAATGAAATATGATTTACATTAAAAGAAATTTATCTACCATATACGTAAAATGTAAAATATTCTGTTGTTGTTATTATCTACCGTGATAGTTAATATAAAGAGTTATTTGCTAGTAGACATAAAACAGAGATTACGATAAAGAATTTTAATTAAATAGCATTTTTTATTGCAATTATTTTTATTCAAATTTTTCTGTTGAAATTATTTAATAAAAAAATGGGTACTTCCCTTTGTAACATAGATTGCTTAATATTAAGTAATATAATGATACGTAAATATACTATTATACTAAAATTAATTCTTAAATGTACTGAAACATATTTTGATTTGATTTTTCTTTGATCTTATATATTTGTTACACATTTGTTCTTTCGTATCTATCGTTTACAGATCAAAAAGTATTCCCGTAATCAATGTAACGCAAGGCAATATAAAACGTATTACTTGGGCAGAAGTACTGGAAAAGGGCAGAGAGCGCCTTCACGAATATCCTTTCGATGGAGCCATTTGGTATCCAGATGGCGATATACGTAGCAGCAAATTTGTGCATAATCTTTTCATCTTCTTCTTTCACATTATTCCCGCGTACCTCATTGATTTCCTGATGTTAATATTTCGGCAGAAAAGATTGTAAGTTTTGTACACTTCTTGAAATTTTTAAAAAATCTTCTAATATCTTATATCTGTTAGAAATCTAGTTTTCAAAATGTTTATAATATATTTCTAAAAGATTAATCTTTTTAAAACACTATTGTTAATACTATGTATATATAAATCTTACCGCCCAGTTGTCATTGATCTATTTTGTATTTTTATAAACAGTATGGTTAATCTCCAAGACCGAATCTCAAACGGTCTCGAACTGTTGCAATATTTTACTACGAGGGAATGGAAATTTTATAACGATAAATTCATTAGAGTATACGAGGAATTACAAGGGACAGACAAGCAAATGTTTGTAAACTTACGTTACGATATTGATCTAGATGAGTACTTTAAAAACATTATCCTTGGCGCACGGCAGTATTGTATGAAGGAGGATCTGTCTACTCTACCGAAAGCCCGTCGGCATCAAAAAATGTAAGTTTTCGCTACGCAGATTACCATAATGTTTTCACACACAATCGATAAATATAATTCCGTAAAATTTATTCAATCACTTTACAGAATTTTTTTTAAGTGTAAATTTTTGGGTTTTTCATCAAGCAGAATAAAAATGAAATATGTACATAATGTTCATATTCATGCCAATAAAAATGTTTAATATTTATTTTTTCCTCTTTATTCTTGAAAGGTAACAATTGTACATTTCTAAGAGAAACTGTATACTGTCTATTACTAGAGTTTTTTGTTAAGAAGATATTTATTCATATAACAGAAGAGAAACGAATAGTAAGAGAAACTTAACATTGTTTAAACTTATCACTTGTTCAAATAAAAAAGTGACGAGTTTCTTTATCTGACAAGTATTTCCGTTTGCATTTGACAACTACAAATTAGTCATTATGTAGTATACGTATATATAATTAGTTTAGATATTGCTTAAATTTTTCCGAGAAATTCAGAATATAATTTTAAATTTACAAATTAGAGCAAAGTGTATAAATTACATTAAATCAATTAATATTACATTATCATTATATCATATTAGTAACACAATTAATATACATATATACATTAAATTATAACAGTTGAACTAAAATTATTCTAAATTTACATTAAAGTTAAACTTAATATTTAAACAGATTTAAATGTTAAAATTAATTTTTTAATTTTCAATCACTTTCAAATGTCATATGTCAAACTCGATGCTAATGTACTCGTCGTATTTCATAAAAAAAAAATCTTTGTTTCAGAATGTACTTTGTCCATATCATAGCTGTATATTCATTCTACTTCGGCATATTATATTATACTTACAACAATATTGGGATAGTAAAAGTCTTCCTGGATTATGTTGCCGACTCAGTAAAATCGCTACCGTTCATAGGCGGATTACTGAAGAAAGTACATCTCTAAGAACGTATACGTACCGTAGAGTGAGGTAACATGGAACAAGGGGGCAAGTTGGAACAAAACTTCCAATTTCATATTTATGCATTAAAACCGGCAACGTCTGCAAGAAAGCATTCGAGTTCAACGCTAGTTTGGTTTAGCCCATATGTACGCTCAATAAATGATAAACATTACATCATTATAAGTTCTGTGCTTTTTTGGAAGTTTTGTTCCAACTTGTCCCCTTGTTCCATGTTACCCCACTCTACGGTATTCTACGTTCATTGCGTAACATACTTGATATGCGACGAGCAAACGAGGAAAAATACATAGTTTTTGCGACGATGATCTATTGCGGTTCTTATTTGAATCGTTTGTAAGTATATTAAGGGGCATAAATTATGAGGTTAAAGGCAATTTTAACATGGAAATCCTGTTGATATACGCAATAAACGTAGAATACGTATACACATGTGCGACGAGCAAACGAGGACCAACACATATGACTTCACAGCTATAATTAATATAGCTAGAATAGCTATGGCTATATTTGTACTTTTTTATTAGCTGTTACAACGCTTTTGCAGATAAAAATCCAGCAGAATAACTTTTGTTATTCTGATGAAAAACTGCTAAGCAGTTTTTCAACATCCAATCATAAATCTTTTTTCGCAATGATTACGCAATCTATTATAACAAGAAATTTTCCAGTAAACAGATTTTGCTCCAAGAAATTCATGATGGAAACAATCCCAAGTAACATAGTCTTGCTATATTTGCTGCGACAGCAAAAATGTTACTAGTATAACGTCTTGCCAGCCTTAATTATAGCTATATGCCAACAGAAGCTGTATTAATAGCTGTAAAGTCACATGTGTTCCTCGTGTGCTCATCGCACATACGTATACGTATTCTACGTTTATTGCGTATATCAACAGGATTTTCATGTCAAAATTGCCTTCAATCTCCTAATTTATGCCCGTTTATACATATAATTACAAACGATTCAAATGAGAACCGCAATAGATCACCGTCGCAAGAACTATGTATCGTTCCTCGTTTGCTCGTCGCACATACGTATACGTTTATATAATCTACGCACTAGAATAAATTAGAATAATCCATTTATTATTGTTATATCAAGAAGTAAATTTCTATGGGAATTTCACACGATTTTCCGTCTATACGTAAGTGTTAATAAAAGAATTAATTATCACGAAACGTTAAAAATTATAATATTTTTCTAAATACACAATAAGGTATAAGATAATTATTATTCAATATTTTATTCTTTTAGATGTATATTGCATAAAATATTTATGCAACGCATAATTCAAAAGTAAATAAATAATATTATAATTTAAAAATTAAATTATATAATATACGAAAAAACATGTTTATTTTCTAGCTACATGGTTAATAATTTAAGGTGAATCTTCAAACAAGTCTCTCAAAAATTACCTGTTGATTGGGACATTGGTTCAACACTCGTATTCTTTACTTCTCCAAGTTTCTCAGTATTCGATGTACGCAAATAATTATATGATGTGAGAATATTTCGTTGCATATAATTAAATCTGTTCATCACAATTACAATGTGATTTTTAAGTCTCGCGGCGAGTTTTCTATGTTGAAAGGAGATGTTACTGCCCAGCAAACACCAAAGTAACAGTTACATAACATCAATATAAGTGTAATATAACACATGCCTGTTACATTACATTTGCATTGATGTTATGCAATTGTTACTTTGGTGTTTGCTGGGTAGCGTTAAGAAGATCCCCCAA